CAAAGAGCCAAGTGTCGTTATAGTTCTTTATGATAATGTCGGCCCTCCCTGAATTTATAAAATTGTCCTGTTCCAGCGACTGTTTCATATCCAAGGCAGAAAAACAGGGAGCATAATTACGGAGTGGCTCCATGCTCTGCTGCAGGCTCCTTGCATCAGCTGGATTTGGTTAAACCCAGCTTGCCTGCTCCCGACCGTGCACAGGCTCCAAAGGAGTAGTGCAATGCCAGGACCATCACTGCAAAGCTGCTTCTTTTTCTGGTCACGGAAGGATGATAACTAAAAAGCATCATAGTAGCTTTTAGCTCCTGAAATAACAGTGCAAAATTCTAAGGCATGGGAAATTCTGGTGTTGCTGTAAATGATCTTTTTCAAAACATGAGTAAAAAAACCATGAGTACTGCACTTTAAATGTATTTAGCCCCCTGATTTCTCTTTGGGTGCCTAAATTCCAGAGGAAATTTGGGAGCTCTGTGAGGCAAACAGGTCAGGTTATACCAACGTTTCATGGGAGACTTCATTTACAGGTAGGGATATCCTACCCCGACGCTCCGTATGAGCTTGTTCCACAGACTGCAAGGTCCAGGCTTAATTCTTATGTGTAAGTAACTCTCCTGAGGGCTCCTAAAGGCTGAGACACGCAGAACTCCCTGCTTTTGCAGCCAATAGATATCAAAACGTGAGCAAGTGATAACCTCTGCACTGGGAACAACACTTGTGTGGATGCTAATAGATTAAAYGGTGCCGGGGGACAGACCCAGGCACAATTAAACAATACATTTGTATTGTTTAATTCCTTGGGAAAGAGCCCAGCTTGGTTTGATCCTGGTTGGATCTCCCCARCCAAGCCTGGACACACATCAGGAGCTGGCACAGAACACAGAGCTTTCCCGGGATGCAACCACACTGCTCTGGAAGCTCGGGATGCTGTATAGTATGGACCGAAAAATGCTCAATTCTCGACTTGTGGGGTCATCATGAGTTCTGCAAGCCTCAGAAGCTTGGTCTTGCTTCTGGATACACATAAAGGAGACGTATAGCAGAAAGTGTTAATTCTGCAGGTCAGGTAGGTCCTGCTCGAGAAACACGGAGCCATTTAGAAGTCCCAAAGGAAGAAAAAGGAAGTGTCTGCATTTGCAAATGTGTGCGAGTCGCTGTGGGTGTGAGCACATACATGCCCATTCAGGGGAAAAATACTTCCAAGAAAATCCACCACCAGATTACAAGGAAAAGAGATGCCGAGATCTTTGAATTAATTATTCTCCGTGAATCACTCTTACATTTGAAAGTCCTACCAGCATTTCCAGAAAAACTTTCAGTTCTGTATATGTAAACAAATGTAAAGAAAACAAACAAACACCTAAGAAAATGTGAAGATAAAAGGCTAGAGATAATAAGATGAAAGATGTTAATTGGGAACATTTGCACTCCCCTAGACTTTGACACTGGTGGCTACGTCTCTACAAAATACTTCAGTTCTGACCTGATGATCTCGGGCAGCTTAAACCTGAGGACTAGAAATCCTCCTGCCACAACCCACCTTATATTTTGCGGGCACAGAGATGCATACTTAGGTGACACTGAATTTTGTGTTTGTGCAGGTTTTTAACTGCTTTGGGACTGTGTTTAAGCACCTACTTAGAGGCAAGATCCTGCAAACACTTGGAACTCGGGCAGTGATCTCCAAACCACACGCGCTCCAGCTCTCTTCACTGCTCCCCAAGAACACCCACTCCTTGCCTTTCCCACCCCTGCTCCACGTCAACACCTCAGTCTCTTCCATGCTCCAAAGGCCAAAACGTATCACATTTTGCTCCCCATGCGCAGTCAGGGATCAAGCCTTCCAAAATACATGAATAGGCTTAAGAACCGGTGGGAAGGAAAAGGGCAGAAATTTTACGATGTGTTTATTTTACTTCACACCTTGGATTTAGAGTTGATGAACTCACTGATGCTAATCTGTTATCTTTGGCTGGATGAGGAGTTCTGCCTGAGAAGGCAACCAATGGGCTGTAAAACTTGATCTTAATCATCTTACAGTTTGAGGTGTTATTTGGATGCTGGTAGAAAAWGTCTATCAGCTTTAAGCCTCTGTTTTCCAGAAAACCACACAGCTAGAGTGTCTACCAGAAACTCCCACTCTGAGCATAGGCAATGAGCACCCCAGGATACAGTGGTGTGGTTCTTCCTACCAGGAATAATCATGATTTGCTACTGCACTCTTGCTATTGCAATACTGCATCTACAAGGGAGCGTGTCAGCCAGAACAGCAAGCCAAGAACCACATGAAGGAAGGGTTTTATTAACACCACAATGTATTTTTTTCCCTGAGAAGTGTTTTTTCGGGTTCACTCCAAACGTTGCAAAAGATTAAAATCCCTGGAAAAGACTTCACGCTTTCTGAAAGAGACAAGGGAGAAAGGAAAAGGCTGTGCAGTAACAGACACGGGCTAATGCCCTGCAACCAAAACACAGGGCTACTACGGCCGCTCGCTGCCGGGGGGCAACGGGCCAAACGCTTCTGCGAAGCCTCCCACCGCTGCCCTACGAAGGGAAGAGGGAGCCAAGCGATGGCCCAGCCTCGCTGCTTGGCGGAGGAGCCCTYGCTCCTGGTGTGCCCTCCCAGCAAAGCGCTAGGAGTGTTCAGCGGGAAGAAGGAAGCTCCCTCTCTTAGGATTAGGAAAGGCAGACTCCTGGGTGCTCCCGAAACTGTTGCTGCCGGAGCGCAAAATCCGCCCTCGTTACGTAAGGCTGCTGTGGAGTGGGACGAGCTCGGGAGCGGGACGTGACGCTGCCCCTGTCCGGGATGCCAGGGCTTTAATTACCAGCTCCAGTGCCAGCACCCCGGGCCGCCCCGTACAAGTCCCGATGCCAGGCGGCAAACGTGCTTCAAGGCTGGCAAACTAAGCAGAATCCTCCCTGTCCCCCCAAGTGCTCCCTGCCTCGGTGTATCCGGACAGAGGCACAGGGACAGCCTGGAATCATATCCACACCGGAGAACACTAACGGGTTGTCTTTTCCCTCCTTCTATTCCACATGCTTTTTGTCATAGGCTTCCCAGGCTGCCTTGGCCTTGGAGACACCTCCTGAAAGATGAGCTCCCATCAGTCAGCAGTGATGTCTGCGCAGAGGAGAAAGATCCCCCAGACCTTCCAAGCTGGAGCTTTCGGGCTCTCCTGGTGTATTTTGTGATTGGCATCTGTACACAGGGAAACACCTTCCGGGCAGAAGCCACCAAACAATACAGCTGGTTTTAATTAAGACAAGCTAAGTGGGGATTGATGCCCCACATTGCAGCAAGCACCATGCCCCAGTGGAGGAGCCAGGACCTCAGTCCAGCAGATGGAAAGGGAGATTCATCCAACCCACGCTGGACATGCACGTGGTAAGTGATTGATCTCATTCCCCGGGGCTCCTTTTAGCCTCAGCAGCTAGAAATAGATTTTTCTAGGCCATAGTTCATCCCTCTCTAAAATAGGTGTTGATAATACATCAGGCCCTTTGCTTCCTATAATTTTTTCTCTGTGAAGGGAGCCTCCAGGGTCTAGCTGTTGATGGAGAGCTGAAGGTCACGAGATGAGCTGGACACCAACCCACTTGATCCCACTTTCCTCTCTGTATGGTGATGGGGAGGATATGTCTGAAGGGGGGRTCTGAAAATGCAAAGGATTGCCCARCTTCTTGTATCTGCACTTGTATTCAGTTATAGCACCAGCCTTCCTCATGCACAAAGGGAAAAAACTTTGTTTTTTTGCACAACTTCTTGCAGTTCCCAGAACCACACAAGCATTTTTATGCCAGGATAATCATATGTGCCTCGATGATACCAGGACACATGWCTGCCATTAAACAACTAGGTCCCCAAGTAACATTTTTCCACACAAAAAAGGTAATTCTCAAGGAGCYGTAGCATAGGCAAAGAAGATACAGATCCCTGTCAGACCACATGGAAGAAAGGTGTCTTGCTGATACKTCGTTGCTGGAGGAAGCCTGCCAGATTAGAATGTGGATTTACCTGTTAAAATAATAATAATAAAAAGCTATGCATCTTTCTGTGGCCCAACACTGAGGAGAATAACGCAACAGAGCCGCTCCAACAGAATAGAGCATCATTGTCATTCATATTGACACAGAATATGTCAATTCAGGGTCTGTCCATTTAGCCACTTTGCTGTTTTCATAATGGGTTTTTGTGTGTCCCATCACCCTTCTGTTCTGCTTTTGGAGATACCTTGTTGGATTGTCCAAATGATTTTTTTGCAAATGATTTTTTCCAGCSGCTGGAACAAGCAACAGGAGCCATTCCCATTTCTGGGCCAGCTGCCCTAGGAGGACCCCAATGTGCTCCTGAGGGAAATATTGCAACGTTGGCTTTGAAAGGCAAACAGAAAGATCAACTCTTCTGCAGACAGTTTGGTCAGTAAATGCCCTTGCCCTCCAGCAGACCTAGTTTCAGAGGCTCCTTAGGAATAGGGCATACTGGTAAGCAGCACCCTCAATATTTATCCATTCAACTTGGCCACTGCAACACGGGGTTAAATCTTCCCTTTTCGTTACATACCTTTTTTTGCAAGAAGGAGGGACCAGCTGGGAAACCTGCTTTATTTGTTCTGTGGTACAGAAGCAACCAAGGCAGCTCCATCAATAACAACCACTCACCGCTGGCGTCTGGGCCACACATTGGCAAAGAGCTGAGGTGTGATGACAGCAGCTCCCACACCTCCCTTCCAGGTGCCTGGCTCCAGACGTGGAGTTCCCAAACCCAACTACTTACCTGCACCCCATATATAAGCCACAGGGAAAGGCAGGCACCTAAAAATAGGATTTGCAGTGATAGGTAGGTAATTGCAATTGASACCTAACATGACCACTATCAAAAGCTAAGGAATGTGGCCTCCCTGCCTCCCTAAGGCAGMTTTTGAATCCCTCTGCTACGTGGTGATGCGACAAGAGGCTTGCTCTGGCACTGCCAGTGCCGCCCGAGGGGTCAGGACACTCACCAAAGGCGAAGGAGAGAGGAAGTGTCATCCTTAGACCAGCAGTGACTGAGCCAGAGTCTCCTTTCAAAGCATCCTCATCACTGGGAGCATGGGAAATTCTCCTCTACTTGGCTTGACACTAGGCAGAGGGTAGGGAGGAAGGTAAGGTCTGTGAAATAGAAAGCATGAGAAAGATGTCAAGGCCAGTGACATGGCTGTTCTCCTGGTAAGGTGTGGAGAAAAGGGACCTTTAGGTCCCTTAACTGTCCCTTCTCTAACACCATTTGTGCATTTCCTCCTAATGACTCTTCACGAACCACAGTCTCCAAGATATTAACTCTATAAAGTATTATTGGTCAAAGGAACATAATGGCAACCAGCAAAAGCCTCTGAATTAAGAGAAAACATGTATTATTTGATATACAAGGAGATCTAAAAGATTCAGTAGGCAGCCAGGAGAGTAGGAGCTCCTGGTAGGAGCGAGGGCTTTCGCCTCTGGATCAAACATCTCTGCAAGAGCAGCCAGACACACAGGGATCCCAACTAGCAAAGCACCTAGCGAGCACTCTGCTCACAGTGTACTGATGGAGAAACAATTTTGTTTAGCAAATTTACTTTCCCTTGCAAACTCTGTGCTTAGGTCCTATAATTAATAGTCTTTGGTGTTTTTGAAAACACGGTGATTTTTGGTGTTTGGAGAGAGCGCATGTGAGACGTGGGAGATCCAGTTTCAACACCACCGGCTCAAASCGTTTGCTTGGAAAATGGGCCTCAGTTTTCCAAACTGTAAAACTGAAGTACTAGCAGGTCTTTGTGGTCTGCCCATAAATATTGCTTCTGGGATCTCTAACAACAAAAATATGGAGAGATGCACTAATAACAGAGATGCTAAAAAGTAATTATCATAGGGTGCATAGTACAATGTGTCATAATATTCAGAACWTAAAGAAAAAAAAGTGTGTTTAGTTGATATTACACCTGAGATTATTAATCTGAGGAGCAAATGTATTCAGGTCTGCTGGCAGACAGCACAGAAAGAAAGACACAGAGGGTAAAGAACCCCCAGGCCTTCTAGTAACATTAATCTGCATTTATATAGCACATTTCATTTGATCATCTTGGCAAGTTTATTATTAAAACTCTCACTCCTGTGGGCTAAGAACACAATCCTGCCTCTTTTTAATTGACGGGTATCATGGGCTTCATGGAGAAGAAAGAGCTGAAGGTCAAAGGGGGTGAACGGCGGCGCTGGCACGACCTGCCCCTGGTTCCTGCCGTTCGCAGCGCTCGGCTGCCGGAACAGAGGGCTATGCTGCAATCTATTCCAAAGCAGTTATCACGAATAACCAGGAGCTGCACGGCACAGCTTGTGTCAAGCCTGGCACAGACTCGCCTCCCCAGGACAGCACGTGTAGCTGGGTCCCGCGCAAGGACAGGGTGCAAGGGGCCAGCCCAGGCAGCTCTCTGTGCACACATGCAACTGAGCTGGGGGAAGCACTCCCCAAATATTGTGGGTTTTCTTTACAGCAATTGCTTCCAACTTTTGGTCTGCAGACCTCTGGTGTCCATGGCCTACTTTCAAAGGGCCCTTAAAGCTAAGGCAAGCACCTATTATCAGCAGGTTTCAATTTAGGAGGCTGGATTCAGAATATTTTCAGCATTCAAAATGGAGAAGGGTTGAAAATCACTACTTTGGTTGTACTCATCAAAACCCTCGCTCAGCCTCCCCCTCTCTGGGCTATGAGATGCAAGAGAAGCCAGTCCCAGGGCAGCACGGCTGCAGGCACACACCAACCCGTGCACCCAAGGGTAGCACTCTTTCATCAAGGCAGTAACTTCACAGAATCACAGAATCACAGAATCACAGAATCACAGAATATTTAAGGTTGGAAGGGACCTCTAGAGATCATCTAGTCCAACCTTCCTGCTCAAGCAGGCACACCTAGAGCATGTAGATTCAACTTCAGTGAATCTCACTTCACAGTGAGCCTCGGGGGGCTCAGAAAGTGCAGCTACATGGAGGCCAATTTTGAGGCATTTTGTATCTCTTCTTGGAAAGCATTTTCCAGTAAGCTTAAACAACACTGGCTATCCCTCTACCACCCTCTATCTGCTTTCAGGACTCTACAAAGGAAAAAGAAAAGGAGTTTAGAAGTATGGATTCTACGATATTAAAATGCTGGCTGATTGCAAAGTTGTATGGGGTAGGATAAATTATGATAAATGCACACCTGTATATGCAGCCTGTCTTATGACACATGTATCTCTCTGCGGGTGCAAGCACGTGTAGCCTGTGATCCAACCAGCTYAATCTGGTCACGTCTGGCACAAAGGAAAAGTGTCCAAAAATTCTCAAGCACCCCAGATTTTTGGGAAAGCAGATCCCAAAGCTAAGGAGCCAGACTCCACAAGTGCCCTGGGTGGGGGAAAGGCCACAGTGGCATCCTAGGATTGCACCACCAAAAGCCAGCACCAGGCAATCCCTGGACTACTCTTCAAACTGCAGGAAAGCAGACTTCTCTGGCTCCACAGCTTGTGGAAGGATTTGCTGCCTTTTCTGCAGTGCCACTGGGTCTTCACTGCTCTTGGGACCTGAGTTGTCCTGATTAAGTCAGGACAGGTTTGGTGTCCTGTGTTCCCTCACCTCTGCCTGCAGTACAGGCTTGGGAGCCTCCTGCCCTGCTTTTTCACTCACTTTCCTGCTCACCACCTCTGCTTCCTCATCTTTGAAATGAGGATTATGGCCTCTGTAAGACACTTTGATGTCCACTGATGAAGCGTGCTGCAGCACATATAGGTGTTCTCTCTCKTTTAAATGCTTGGGGAGAGTATTGCCATGTCTATCTTTTGTTTATTCACCTTTTATTAAAAATGGAAATCAATAGGCAATTCTGGCAAACAAAAACAAGAAAACACTTTGGATGGACCTTCCTCTGTGAAGATAATTATGGGACAGAGGGTAATTTTGAAACAATGAATGACCAAATGCAACGCTTAGAAACTATAGGGGAGAACACATCTGTCCAGGATTGCACCTGAAATCCACCCCTGCGTCACTGTTGCAATGGTCCTGTTCTTTTCCATTTTCTAAGCCGTGTACTCAACACAACTTGCTTCCTAAATGAATTATTTAGCTTACTCTCAACCGCCGCAATGCACAGCAGGACGCCCGTCGGAGCAAAGCGTCACTAATGGAGGATTCCTCATGTGATCCGAACGGGAAGATGAGTCCAGACTGTTACAGCACCTCAGTGAGAATTCCGCACCAGAAACCCATGCACAAAGGTCCAAAACTTTGTCTAAAGCAGAGCTTGCATCCACCCATGTCCCCCAGGCCTGCTCTTGGCTCCTGCTGCTGCAGATGTGTCTGAGTCTGGCTCTTTGGAAGACCTTTTTGGACTAGGAAGAGCAGCCACCAGGGCCTTGGGTGCCCATTGAGAGCTGCGCCTGCCGACTTTTGGCACCCAGTTGGGTGCTGGCAATATTTTACTGGCCTCTGCTCCTAATGCACCAAAACAAACACAGCAGCTGGCCTGACCAGTTAGAGCTCTGCTTTTTCAGTGAGACACTGACTTACCCACATGCAACTGAGCGCAGGATCAGCTCCACATACAGCTCTAGCTGCTGGGCTACTAGTGAAAAAAGAGAGTCCTGACCCTCTCATGGTCGAGSTTTCAATTGCTGGAATGAATTAGAAAGAGACAGGAATTGTCAGCGGAAAAGCATCGTAAAAATGGAAATAATAAGACAGGTCTTTCAACTTATAAATGGAGAATATTTTCTTTGAAGCTTCTAATAATAGTAAACAGCCCCCACCCTGTCCTTCAGATCATATAAAGTAACAGGAAGTCTCTTCCAGATGGAGTAATCACTAATAATTTAGAACATATGTAGAAAGACTTTATGACATGCCGATACTTACGGTGAAAGTCCCTTTGCAGTCAGCTGCTGGATTTCAGTTCTTACAAAACAGCCATATGCACAAACTGCTCTCCCTGCTCGGGAGCTAGAAATGGCCTCTTTAGGAAAAAGAATAAATGCCTGGGGAAAAAAAATAAAAATAAGCACAAGCTATTTGTGAAATGTCCAAGACCCTAGAACTGAAACTGAAAGGAAAAAGTCAATAGCATGAGATTCACATTAGAAGTGCTAAGAGGCAGCAACACAAAGRAGGTCCTACATAAGAGTCAGTGGGAAAAAAAACAGCCTCCAAAACGCACAAAAAAGAGTCTGTCCCTTGTAGACGCCTCCAGCTCCCACCACTGGGCATTGGGCATTGATTCCCTAGGAAAGGGCTGGAAGTGCTCAAAGATCCTGAACATGATCAGTTATCAGCCAATACCAGCGCCTTATCTGTTGTGCTTTTATGTGCGTACCTCGGGTTCCTGGTGCAGAGTCCAGTAATTAATCTGCAAGACAAATAGTTCTGACCCACACACGTCTCACAGCAGACGTGCAGCAGGTCTGCGTGTGACCCAGGCACTTACCCACCCGCTTCAGCTCCGCACACGAGTTTCCTGATCAAYGATCCCGAGGGCCCCAGAAAGCCGACCTCCTCTCGTGCACTGAGCGTGTGAACACGAGGGGCAAGGCTCAGACCAGAGCCTTTCGGCAGTCAACCAGCAGCAAGAAAGTCGTGTGAAATAACGTCAAGTTTTCACTTTCAATCTGTGAAATGGGCCGCAAAAMTGTCAGCCAGTGTGAAAGGGCAAACGGACGGGGTCTGCCCTGGGTGCCAGAGTGGTAAATCCTATCAGTTCGCCCTGCTGATACCAGCTGCTGGGATTTCCTGGGAGCAACCCAGTGGATGCTCTGGAGCAACGACAAGAGCCAGAGCAGAGCAACTCCCGCTGTGCTGTCCATCCATTGCTGATTCCAGCAGGAACTGTGCCCTGGGCACCAGGCAAGCTCAGGCAAGGTTGCCCTCGGTGCCCCAAACCTCTGCCCAGGGATTKGCAGGGGCAAAGCTACGGAGGTCAAGATGAGGAGCCCACTGCCTATCAGCCCTGCGAGCGCCCAGCAGTAGCTCTGGAAGGGAGGAAATCCCCCGAGCTATTTTTCTATTAAAACATCATAGAGCACTTGGCTCCAGCCACAACTTGCTCATGTGAATAAAAACTCGTTGCCAGACTTTCTTCTGTATCTTATTACTCAGCTTTTTCAGAGTCTTACAGAAAGCAGCACTTCAGTGCCTTGCCACACAGAAACCAAAGGAGGCTTCCACGAAACCAGCAACACCTCCCATCTGCTCCCAGGCATTAAAAAACAAACCCCAAACAAGAAAATAAAAAGAATCAGAGAGGTTGGACATGTCAGCCTGTAACGCCAGGCGTGAGGAGAGCAGTGCCAGTGGTAATGGGGCAAGAGAGGCAGGGTAATTACACCACACCAAGATTGTGACCGCGCGGCATTCCTTTTCGGTGAAGGGCRGCTGGATGCGCCTCTCCAAGTCATCCAAGGGAGTGGCTGCAAGATACAAGGTGCTCAGATTAAGATGAAGTTCTGGGTTTGCCAGTTCTCAGCAAAAGCTTTGGTGGCTGGGCTGGGCAGATCGTGAGCTGCTCCCAAATGGTGCTCATGCCCTGCGACTTCGTAATCCGGGCTCTTTGCAGAGGGCGACCGCGGGGAAGCTCCCACTGGGARTGCTGGGCACTGCTAGGGTGGATGGACCTCTTCTGCTGCAGCAAACCTCACCAGGAGACACCAAGTAGCCGGCAAAGCCCCTGGTTCCCTCACCTCCAGCTTTGCCTTGTTGGTGGGGCCACCAGGCCACACAATGTCCTCCTGGTCTGTAGTGGAACGAGATGAGAACATGACGGAGCAGCAGAAAGGCACGGACGTTCCTTAAAGGCCTGGGAATGCCTTCCCCACCGAATGGCAGGTTGTTCCAATCAGCTCCTCCGAGACCAGCAGAACAAACGTTGCCTTTATTCCAGATTGYGGAAAACAAGCCAAGAAGAATGAACGCAAGGCAAAGCCGCTAGCCAAAGGGCCAAGTCCTTCTCTTTAATTATTCAGAAACAAGATACAAAACAAAGACAYAATAATAACCAGTCTCCTCACAAGAACCCCTGCTTTGGCTCAGAGGACCRGCTGGCCTGATTCCATGTCCAGAAAATATATTTTTATTCAATGAATAAGGTGGCTCCTTCTACAGCAGAGGAAAAGATGACATGTTGTGGGAAGAGCTCCTTGGGCATCACCTAACACCGTACCGCCAAACAGAAATAAAAACCTTAGGGCCATTTCTGTTCTGTCCGAGGCCAGAATTTAAATATATATATATATATATATATATATATATGAGGTGGTTTCAGCACTGGTGAGGGCAGAGGAGAGCGCACCAGGGGCTGACAAACCCCTGGAGCTCCCTCCAGCTCCTCTTTGTGGAGAGCCCGCCTCGAATGCCAGCCCCTTCGACGTGCCGTGGTTTCACGTTACTGCTCTCTTTATGGATTCGGGCTCCTCGAATTACTTGAGGAAGGTACTCGAGTACTCCTCCACGCCGTGAAACGCTCCCCATGGAGTGCACGCCACCAAAACGTGGCCAAACACCCAAGCCCTTACACAATCTTTCCATTTCCTCCGAGCACTTGCACAATCTTTACGTTCCCCAGCAGCTCTTGATTGCTTGGATGGCACCAGCTCCTGTTGGGCAGCGTTTCCCTGTGGCCACGCAGCTGTTTACTGCACCCCGAAACGCTGCAGGGCCACGGTGCACAGCGTCACTGCTGCGTATGCGCTGGGACGAGCGAGGGATGCCGAGCACGGCCAGGCGGCCGTGAGCAGAGCCGGCGGCTTTAGTCAGGGGCAATTTTCTCTGCAATTTTCTCTGCAATTTTCCCCGCAAAGCGGTGTCTGAGGCACGGCCGGATTGCACAGCGAGGGCGCACGGGAGCCGCTTCTCCTCCCGCCTTGGCCTTGCACAACGGAGGAGCTGGCCGGCAATTAGAAGCTACCCCTCCGTAATGAGCTGGCTCAATTAGCTCGGGCTGTTGGGAACGTTGTGGTGAGGGACTCGGAGCTCCCGGCCCTCCCTCCAGCGCCCAGGAGGTTCCTTCACGGCCGAGGCCGGAGGGAGACCCGAGCGGGGCCGTGGCCTGGGCTGCCCACGGAGTCACCGGCTTGGACCCCGGCCTCATCCCTGTCCCCTCCCTGATCCCTGCTCGTCCCCATTCCCTCCCTTAGTAGGGAGGCTGGCCTAGGTGATCTCTACGGGTCCCTTCCAACCTCAACCATTGTGCGATTCTGTGATCCCTGCTCGTCCCCGTGCTCTTCTGATCCTTCCTTGTCCCTATCCCCTTCACCGAGCAGAGGGTTGGACTAGGTGATCTCCAGAGGTCCCTTCCGACCTCAGCCACTCTGTGATTCCGTGATCCCTGCTCGTCCCCATCCCCTTCCCGATCCCTGCTCGTCCCCATCCCCTTCCAGATCCCTGCTCATCTCCAGCCTCTTCCTGATCTCTCCTCAACCCACCCCTTCCCCAATCCCTGCTCATCCCCATCCTCTTCCCAATCCTCCCTCAGCCCCATCCCTGCTTTCCCCCATCCCCACCCCGACCTCAGCTCACCCCCACCCTCTTGCCCATCCTTCCTTGTCCCCATCCTCTTCCTCGACCCCAGCCCACCTCACACTGATCCTCTCCCAATCCCTGTTCGCCCCCCCCTTCTTCCCGATCCTTCCTCGCCCCCATCCCCTCCCCGACCGCCGCTCGCCTCCCTCCTCTTCCCAATCCTTCCTCGCCCCCATCCCCTCCCAATCCCCGCTCACCCCCCTCCTCTTCCCGACCCTTGCTCGCCCCGATCCCGCCGCCCCTCCTCCATCCCGCTCCATCCCGCTCCATCGCTCCCGGCCAGAGCCGGCGCAGCGGCGGGCGCCGCCGCCCTGCGCGGCTCCCCCCCAGGCCAGGGGCCGGGCTCTGGGCGCTCCCCGCCGCCTCCCCTTCCTCCTCCTCCTCCTTCTCCTCCTCCTGCTCGCCTCTCCTTCCCAGTCCGGCCGGGCGCCGCCGCAGCGCTGCCTGCTCCTGGGCGCCCGCTGTCCCCGCGCCGCCTTCGCGCACAAGATGGCGGGCACCGTGGCCGAGCGGGACGCGCCGGTGAGCGCCGGGCGCGGGGCAGGGCGGCGGGCTCGGAGCGGGGCGGGAAAGGGAAAGCGGGGACGGGGCCTCGCCGCCGCCGGCCTCAGCGCCTGCCTTCTCCCCGCAGAAGCTGGAGGACGGGCACCTGAGCAGCGCCCTGGGCTCGCCGCTGCAGGGCGACGTGTGCTTCCCGCGCCTGGTGAGCCGCCCGCGCGCCGCGCCCCGCGCCCCGCCGCCCGCGCCGCCGCTCACCCCCGTGTCCCCTTGCAGATCGTCCCCTTCTGCGGCCACATCAAAGGCGGCATGAGGCCCGGCAAGAAGATCCTGGTGATGGGCATCGTGGACCTCAACCCCGAGAGGTAACGAGCCCTTCCCTSCWTCCCCGGGGCCATCCCTGCATCCCCGGGGCCATCCCCGCATCCCAAGGGCCATCCCCGCATCTCCACGGCCATCCCCGCATCCCCACGGCCATCCCCGTATCCCCAGGACCGTCCCTCCTTGCCCAGGACAGGTATTTTTGTGGCCATCAATGCTTTCTCCTCCGGCCCGCGGAGGGGGCATTGCTGTGAGGGGCTCGCCTTGGATGCACCATGAATCATGTATATTATACATATTGTATATATATGTGTGTGTACGTGGATGGGTAGGTGCGCACGCACGCACACGCTCCGTGGCGGTGTTGCAGCTTCGGCATCCGCCTGACGTGCGGCGAGTCGGAGGACCCCCCGGCCGACGTGGCCATCGAGCTGAAGGCGGTGTTCACCGAGCGGCAGTTCGTGAGGAACTCCTGCGTGGCCGGAGAGTGGGGCGAGGAGCAGTCCTCCATCCCCTACTTCCCCTTCATCCCCGACCAGCCCTTCAGGGTGAGTAGCGGCGCCGCGGCCGGTGGCGGCGGCGCGGGCGGCTCCGCTTGGAAACACGTCGCCGGGTGTTGGGATAGCTCGAGAGGGCAACGCGCCGCCGTGAAGCGCATGGCCCGAGTCTAGTTTTATAGCCATAAATTAAGAAGTTCCTCTATGTTATTTTAAGTTATTACTGGAGAATGTAACTGCTTGGTCGGGCTGCCGCATGTTTTGGTTTTGTGTGATGGACCTGCTGCTTGCAGTTGAGTGCAGCTAATGAGGATCTCATTCCTCCTTCGTCTCTAGGGATGTGGCACTGGCCGTAGCGCTCTGTGGGAGCAGATTAAATAACTGAGCAATAGTGCTGTGCGTTCCTGAGCCCTCGGGATTAAATCCCAAGTGGGCAGGCGCTTGAAAATGGTGCGTGTGGAAGTGCTGCGGTGCAAGGGATGGACTGGCTTGACCTAGAAGCCGGTTTCCCTCTGTGGTGTTTATGGTTATGTGAAGATGTCTTTGCTAATCAGGACTAACAAAGTCTGCAGCTGCAGAGGGCTGCTTCCTCTCAGCTGTTTGGCTAYGCTGGGAAAAAGGCTGACCCAGAAAAATCCTCCTCTTCCTCCCTTCCACTCCCTTGGGAAACCGTGGTGGCCCCTCCGGTAACCGCGAGTGCTCGACCAGCTGCCAAACTCTGTTAACTCCCCCAAGCTGATCCCCCCAGCCCCAAAAGCTCACCCAGACACCCGGGCTCTTTTGCAGGGTGTTTGCGACTGGTTTTGCRGCGAATTGAGCGCGCTCCGCTTGCTCCTGCACACCCTGCTGCCCTAGCTGGCAACACCCTTGGGCGCGCGTGGGAAGCTCACTCGGAAGGGCTCGGAGTTTCGGTGACAGGGTTAGGCTTGGAGCTTGAGTGAGGGCTCTCACACAAGCTAGGCACCGTCTAGAGCGCCTTTTGTGGACGTCCCMCTAGTGCCAGCACACCTTAGAGGACAGAAGTACCACACGTCTTTGCTGGAGATACTGGGCCAGGGGAGTTTTGCCTTGTTTTTCCTCTCCCCAGCCACACAAGCAGGATTTGGGCTCCCGCTTGACTCCGTACCGTGGCTAGCCTCCCTCTGGGTGAGCACACGAAGCGGACAGTTAGGTGTCCTGCCGGTGGCTCCTGATCCGCTTCAGTTACGGTGCTGGAGTGAGTTGCCCGGGGTGACTAACCATATCTTTTACATGACAAGGCGCAGGCGCTCGCTGCAGTGCCGCGGGATTTCCCTGCTACGGGATGTGCTCTCAGCTCCAGGGCCACTTTTCCCACGGCRGTGTGCCCTAAAGCTGGCATCATCCCGGGATTCAACAGGAAAAACGCAAGTGCCTGAAAAGGCAGCATTTCACTGCAGGCCCCCAGGCTCTAGAAACGAGCCAGGTTTTCGCAGGGATTCCCTGCAGGTTTTGCTCTCAGCCTCTCCAAACGCAGACATGTCCAGAGGCGTGAGCAGGCTGGGGTCCCAACTGGGCTCCATGCCCCAACTCACTGCTCCTGCTGTGGCAGCTCCTGCGAAGCTTGACTTCGGAGCCGGAGAAGTATCGGGAATGCCCGGAGCCGCTCGGAGCGCATGGTCCRGTTCAGGCTTTGTGGCCATTCCAGGCATTTCCGCAGGGCTCCGGGAGGGGAGAGGAGCCGCATCCCTCGCCAATCCYGCCTGTGCCTCCTGTCGGTGCTCAAAGCGAGTCCAGAGCACCCGGCACCGCTTCTCATCACCCCAGGACAGGGTCTAGTCCGACCGGGAGGCCGGGGTGCCTCTGCGGTTGTGCAGCAGCAGCGTGTGGGAAGAAATGCAAACCTGGTCTTCCCCTCGTCCTTGCTTCCTCCCAGAAAACTAGCCAAGTCTGGAGAGCCTTGCACAGGGAGCTGCCCTTCTGCAGCAATAAATCGTAGCAAAGCATGCAAAGTAKGGGTTGGAGATAGGGGTTCTTCCCCCTGTAATTAGCAGTTTAGGTGTGCTCCTGGCATCACTGCAAGAGGCACATTCCCCAATGGCAGCGGGACTGTTGTCTGCGGAGCCACAGGACTGGGATCCAGAGACCCTGGCCATGGCAGTGTGAGATGGAGTTAATGTCCCAGTGCGGCAGGAGCRGATCTGTCGTGGTGTAACTGGGACCGAGGGGGCAAATTGGCYGCTCTCCTTCCTGTGACAAGATATGTAAGCAGCAAAACATGCAACAGCACCAAGGACAAGTAAATGAAGTGGTAACTGAGTGCTCTTTGTGTCCCGCGAAATTAAACCTCCCAGTTACGTTGTGAACATGGCTCATCCKTTTGTTTTTTACAGGTTGAGATACTTTGTGAGCACCCCCGCTTTAGGATATTTGTGGACGGTCACCAACTCTTTGATTTTTACCACCGTATTGAAACACTGTCAGCAATTGACACAATAAAGATAAACGGAGATCTCCAGCTTACGAAACTGGGCTGACCTTGCCAGGACTGCAGCATCCGAAGCGGCTCGGGCGGCACCMTCGGTTTGGAGAAGCGACAGCCGCCTCTGGACACAGCCGTGGGATGGAGGCTGCCCTGCCCGCTCCTTCCCCCGTGCGCAGGCCCTTCCTCACACGCCGTTGAACTGGGCTGTTGTTTGTCCCAACAAAGAGCGTCGCCGGTTAATAGACACCGAGCCGTTTTCCTTGGATCAAAATAGCTCACCTGTGCTGGATAATCAAAGTAGGACGGATCCGGAAAGACTTGCGGTCTTGTTTTGTTTGTTAATCTCGCAGAAAGGCAATTTCTGAGACGCCGGGCGAAACCCAGCGAGCGAAGAGCAACAACAACAAGGCAGTTTTCCTTTGGCAAATGTTGTTTCTGCACTGAAGTGGAGTAGTGTAGCACCACACGGGGGCACGCGCCGGGGCCCTTCGCAGGGCTGCAAGGAGACGGGAGGCGAAACTCCCGCTCGCTTTCACGGGGTACAATCAAACTGTGTAGTCCTTAGTCGAGCACAATTCCCCTCGGTGCCCCTGAGGTTTTTGCACATCCCTGGGCTTCCCGCGGGCGTAAATCAGCTGGCAGAGGCGTTTTGCTGATCGCYCCCCCCTGGCCCGAGGGCTGCGTTAAAAACCGCACGAGGGTGCGAGTACACGGCCTGTATATGTTAGTCAGGGTATTTGCCTAGAATGTAGATCGTTACGAGTTTTTGCACAATGTATTGTTAATACGATTTTTAAAGCTTACCTGTAGTTTATTTATTTATACTCCGTGTATGTATTATTAGTAAAAATGAACACTATTACTGATGGGTAAGAACAGCAACGTGTAAACATTCTGAATGTACAAAATGTCTTAGGTTCTTTTAAACGTAACATATCATCCTTGAAAAATCATGTTTCCTATTGAGCATTTAGTTACATTTTAATGAGCCCTCCAGGCCCTGGGAAAATGCGGGAGTGGAGGTTGGTGGGGGCTAAGGGGAACTCTGCATATTCACTAGAAACTGTTTTTCAGGGCTTTCTAACTTTGCTGCACAGGATAGGTTTGAATTAAGGTCAGTCTGTTTTTAAAACTTAAATAGCAAATTTGTAGGCTTAGCTGTGCTTTTATAACTCGAGAAAAATTTAAATTGGGCAGTCTCCTGGTTCAGCAGGCAGCCTCTTTCCCGGGGAGATGGGGAGATTTTCTGCACTTATTTAAGAACATATTTGGCCTTTGATATGACAATTAAAACTTGTCTAGACAGCCAAGTTATTAACGCTTGAAAATCAGCTACAGCACATGAATAATAACTTTTCAAGTAGCTTTTTAAATACAAGGTATAGCTGTATAAACACAGTCATTGTGCTACACTATAAGTGAACACAACCACTTTTCTTAACTCTGTAGGACTACACCTTTTTTTTTTTCCCCTGGCTGCTCACAATAGGCTCTAGCAGGTCTTTCTGAGTAGCTATGATATAAATGTATTTTTAGGCAATTTTGAAAATGTGTAATACAGGGGCTTTCTCAGACACGGAATGCATATGCTATTTTTGTAGCACAGTGTCTTAAAAAACTAAAAAAAAAAAAAAAATAAGCAGAGAAGGAGCTCACAAACAGAACTATGTTGCTAAGCCTGCAATAAAGATGTGGTTTAAGGCAGCCCGAGCTGGAATATCCAAAGCTAAGGATAGGATGCCAGTTGCAAAGCCTCATTTTGTGCTAATTTGGCTTGCAGTTAAGAAGCCTTAGACTGCAAGCTGAAATTCCCACCGTGGCTCCCGTCCAAAGGCTGTTGAGGTCAATCAGAAAGGCCTGAGAGTTACTGCTCGCAGGCATAAATCTCCGTGCAAAGCCAGCGGGGGCTGCTGGGCTGAACGAGCTGAGGATCAGGCTGCTACCTACACAACAGAAGTTAAAAATCAAAGTTTTAGCCTTAACGCTGGAAGTTCCCTGACTTATTTCTTCCCTTTATTCCAATTAAGCCCGAGCCTGCTCTTATTCAGATCCTTTTATTTGGTGTGTGGCTTTAGGATTGACRTTGGACTCTGCACTACAGATTGAATCTTGGTATGAAATATTCCTGTCTTGCTCTGTTTTTATTCTTTTACATAATACATGATGGCGGCGTCATTTTCCATTGTATAAAGAATGCTGACAGTGTTTTGGTACAAAATATATTATTTAAAAATAAGAATAATAATAAAAATCCAAGGGAAAGGTGCTTCTACATGAGCTGTTTGGATTTTTCTCCAGCTTCGAAATGGTCTGTAGCTTTCACACACCTCGTAAGCCCGAGAAAACCAAGGCCTGAAATGTTTCTGTTGGGTTATGCCTGGAGCCAAATGCAGATGCTTAAGAGGGGAGACTGTGATGCAAAATTATATCCGAGTTGCTTGGTCTCCAGAATTGAGAGGTTGTTCAGATCTGTACTTGGAATATAATTCTGCAGGATTCTTCAGGAACAAGGGAGTGCATGGATTGACTGGAAATCTCTTGTTGGGATCTATTAGCCGAATATCTCCGTTGATCCCTCTGAATCAGCAGGTGAATCCTGACCTGAAGGAAGAGGAAAGGCACGTGGAGTGGAATCCCTCTGCTTAGCAGAGCTCGAGCTGTTCTCTAAAAATGAAAAAGTCAAAGAAAACCTGTTCCCAAATTCATTGATACTGTTTGGAATTAGTTGTTATAAAGGCAATATAGTTTAAAAAACTAGGGTATTGTCTACTCAGAAAGCTCCTCGCAGTGCTCATGTGAGATGGTCGTTGTCTAAACATATTTCAGCCTTTTCACGGCCAAGTTGTGGAAAACATTATGCAACACCTTCTTTTTGTGTCCCAACTAGAAAAGTCTGCCCCACCTTGAGAGAACATTTTGTGCTAAATATTCACATACTGTCCCTGTGAACTTGCACTACCTTATACTGCATTCTCCTCGAGAAGGAATCGGYGTAATACCGCAAAACCGGTTGAGAGTGGGTGCTGCTTGGGGCAGAGCATCCTTCGGCAGGGCTGGTGCTCTGCTCTGCCCCTTCCCACTCCTGCCCTTCTTCCAAAGGGAGCCCAAGAGGGAAGCTCGGAGATTTTGGCATGAGCAGCATCGTGATTTGGCCTTGCAGGATTTAAAGGGGGAAAAGGAGACGACGGTGGGCGCAGGAGCCCTGGGTTGCTGGGTGTAATAATGCAGTCCCCATGGGCGCGAGGTCGCTCCTACGGCTGGGCTCCGTGGGCTGGAAGGGCTTTTCCCACCACAATGGTGGGCTTTTCCCTCCACTTTGGAGGTGGGAAGAGCCCAGGCTTTAGCTTCCCAGGGATGTGCACGGACCTCGTGCAACCCCATACCCAATGCTGTGAACAGCAGTGGGATCAAGAGCTACCTTCCGCCTTTGAAAAAGGCTCCTAAAAAAGTAAATAACAGGGAAATGCAGGGGCTGTGGCACTAAGGTATCCTCTCCTGTGGACAACCAAGCAGTGCATTGCATCCAAAACTGGATCTTTTCTTGCAGGAAAAGGATCTTTTCTTGCAGGAAAAGGTCACTCTGCAAGGAAGCGTGTGGGCCCCAACAGGGAGAAGAAAGGAGCTGCAGATGCTTCATGTGCCTTGGCTAGACCTGCCTCTCCCGCGGCCATCCCTGCAGGAACTTCTGCAGGTGGCCAGGGAAATGTTGCTTGGTTGTTACCTTCTGATCTTAAAAGGTGAGGATGTGCACAAAGTGATTCGGTARTAATGATAATAATAATATGTATCACTCACCACAGATCTATTTTTGTGTGTTGTGCCAATTTGATAACCAACTTAAATGTGAAATCTTCACTCGGTGGTTGTGCCTTTTATCTGAATTGCTAATCCTAGTTACACACCCTCCTTTTTTCGTTAACTTCTGGTTTCTTTCATCTTCTGGCTGTTTCCTCAGACACTGCTAACTCTTTTGCTTGCCAGACTAGTGTGAACTTTGGCAGTGAGATGCACRGCTTCGATAGCAGCTCGTGCAAAACGACCTCTTGTTAAAGGCATYGTGCAGAACGGCCAAACCTTGGCTTAAATGCAACGTGCACAGCAGTCAAACAACTTTATTCGAGGAAAGAATAACTTTCTTCCTGATGTAAGGTTTCTGTTGACATCACTGCAGGAGTTAACATGCACTGCTCTGAAATTAGGGCCAAAACATCAGGTTTTGGGACACGGACACCCGATCATGTTTGCATGAGAGAAAGCAGCCTKTCTCTGTAGTGTAACCTATGCATGTCCAGCTCGCTCTGGTGCCGCTAGATGCATGAGCAGGGATTACAGGTTGCTTAAAACTACCAGACCAGCTCTGGAGATGTGAGGAGCCCAGAATTTATTCTGCTTTTTGGTGCAATCCTGAGTTAAGTTTATGCTGAGCAGGTGCAGGAGGAGGTTTCACCATCTCAGCTTCTTCCAGCTGAAGATATTGGAAAAAATTCATGTGACCTCAAGTAGGAAAGAGTAAYATTCCCCATATGTTTGTGGTTGTCAGAAAGGAGTCAGGTCTCTGCGGCAAACCTCAGGATCTGAAATAGCAGATGAGCAAGATTTTAGTCTCATTAGTTCTATTTTTCTCCCAGTACGATGGTAATGGGCAGGTGCTGCCCACACATTTTGCTCCAGCTCTAAGCCATCAGCATGGATCTGTGGCCATCCCAGCTCCCAGCCAGGCTGGGAATAAAGGAATCACCCCTTTATTTACTCTCCACAATCCCAAAAGGAAGTGGGCATGTCAAGACACCCGGCGAACCCAAGCCAAGCGCCAGGCAACCCAGCTGCAAAGCCAAAATAAGGAAGACGGAGAAAAAAATACCCACAACAGCCTGGGATTTGTGTGGCTCGGATCTGCTTCAGAGCCAGCGGGAATCTCCGTCAGCGTCTTCGATGGCTTCAGCTGAGGTTTTGCACTGGTGGGTTCGTCCTAAGGAAAGAGCCTTCCCACGGTGAGGAGCAGCACAGAGGAGCAGGTCCCAAACGAGCGGGTCCCAAACGAGCGGGTCCCAAACGAGCGGGTCCCAAACGAGCAGGTCCACTGGGGTCCCAAGAGCCGCTCCCACTCGGTCAGCCCGCCTCTATGGATGCTTTCAGGCATGGACGTGCCAGGAACCCTTTTGCACAAGGCTGCACGCTGCATAAAGGCAGGATCCAGAACACCAGCAGCAGGTAGTTGCTCGGGGGGATTTTTGCAAGGAGAACGACACACACGCAGCATTGCCGTCTTGCAGCAACCCTGCGGCTGCTGACTCCCACGGAGGCCCCGGAGAAGCTCCTGTCTCGACCTGCAGGACACAGGCGTGCGCCTGGGGCAGGAGGGGACGTGGTGCAGCCCGTGCGCAGCTCCCGACCAGGCAGGTCCTTCCAGCACCACGTCCACACCTCAGCGCCCCGGCCCAGTCGGACAAACCGCCTCGGAGCTGGAAGCCAGTTAATGCCRAGGGTTTCACCCACAGAAACCCCACGAACACGGCTGCTAATAGTGCCCTGGGTCTGATTTTTACATGATAACTTGCACAACTCCCCTAAGAACAGCAGCTGGCTCTGAAGCTTCCCCTGAGCTCCCACGTTCTCCAAAGGTTCCACGTTTCTCATCTCATCCAGGCTTCGGAACGTCCATCTGCAGCCTGGTGGCTCTCCAAAGCCCTTGTGCGGGGCGAAGAGCCAGTGCTGACACTAATGTGATGTACAACAAGCCGCGGCAGCAGCCCGAGCGCTGCCTGCTCCAGGACACAGGCAGGAGCCTTTCTTGGCTGCTTTCTAAGGAACTTTCTGCTTAATGGGAAAGAAATTCACTGCCTTGSAGTGATCCGGGTCAGAAAATACGGCTCGGTAGAGGACACGTTCTTGGCAAAGCAACAGACGATCACAGTCGCCGTGGGAAAACGAAATACTGAGTTTAAAAACACAAAGGCCTCCTAGAGGATAGCGAGATTCCCTTCACATCCCAACTTTGGAAGAAAGGTTCAATGAGCTCCAATGGCCAAAAAACAGAAGCTGAGGGGCAAAGCCAGGGCAGCTCGGCMTTAGGGGATGGGTGCAGTGTGTAGCTTCGCCATTCAAACCGTCATCATCCTCACCGGAGGGTGGCAGGTCCTCCCCACAAGCAAGAGCTGTTGGTGGGATCCCCATGGATTCACTGGTGGGTGCTCACCTCAAAGGTCGGGGTGTCCTTGATGGCCACAGTCCGAGGGGTGAGTGAAAAACTTGGAAGCGCTGAGAAGCCTTAAAATTCCTGTTAATTCATAAACACCCCTTGACATTTATAGCTCTACCATGTACAGCCAGGGAGTGTGAAGAACAGAGAGGAAACAGGAGTTTCTTAGCAGCCAGTTATGTTATTCGGAAGCCGCTCCGCAGCACCGGGGCTCTGATTAGCACAGGGAAAGGGARGCACGGGCCCATTCCAACGGGTGGTCCCGCTGCAGCTGCAGCAACGCAGGCTCCGAGACGGTGAGCTGGGAGGAAAGGGAATCAGCAGCGATGCTCAAAGGCCGTTGGTGTTTTCAGGCATTGGCAGCCGCATTGATGAGCTTCACCCCGCGTGCCACCGGGCAGCCCGGAGCGCGATCCGCCGGCTGCTGCCGCTGCCGGAGACCGGGGTATTATTAGAAACAGGTTCCCTCAGCGTAATCGTAGCAGTCGGATGATCACACACTATTAAAACGGCAACAGATGAATTTCTGCACAGTGCCAGGAACCTTTTTCCTTGGTGGAGGAGAGGAGGGCAGGAATGAACAGCTCGGAAGTGCCACAACCAGCAGGCAGAGCTTTTACCTCCCAGGGTCTCCTCCGAAAAGGACGTTTGCTCCAGCACAGAAGGGAAGCCGGTGAGAAGCAGAATCCCCCTTGGACGCAGACCCACCGCACGTGCAGACCCGACGCGTCCCCCCCACCGGGTCGGAAACTTCTCCCTAGGAGCACCGCAGGTGTCTCCCGTGGAGCAGAACTCGGGACCCATTCGGGWCAGTGGGAGAGGCCGTGCGGATGCCCTGGGCCCGCCTGGGAGGGCAGCACGGGGGATGCTGCACAAAGAGCTAAGCATAACTTGCCCCAGGTTAGAGTTTTCTTTTAATCCTCTTTGAGTAGAATTGGTTTGAAGTTTA